CCTCATTTGCATAATGAGGCAGAAATGTAAAAATGTCAGAAATAAATAAACAGCGGCGTAGAAATAACTAAGGTAAAAAAATATAACATGCACATAAATAAATACTTAATAATATAAGTAAATACAAAATAAAGTTGAAGAATACAAAGGAAAAAAATAAGGTAAATATTACAAAGGCAAATAAATAAAAAACCTAATTAAGAGTTAAATACATTTGTCTCACTGTATAATTTAATTTCTACTTACATTTATTTGTTTATTGTATTTTTGGTGGCAATTAATTGTATTCTTATTTATTTATTGAGCATTTATTTCTGTTTATATATGGCAGAGTCAGTGTTCCACAGTCTGTGTCAAAGTAATGAATTTATCCTTATTTTAAAAGTTAAATCCCCCATAAAATGAAAACATCATGGTTGTTCGATGCTGTAGCGCAGATCGTTTACATTGAGAGCGGTCTAACTAGGGAGTACCAATATGGCGGCCGGTGGCTTCACCTCATACTACCATCAATCCAGGGAATAAACAGAGATCAGTGATCGGGACACCCTTCCCTTCCACAGGAACTCGCTGCCAATAGAAACAGGACCGGCCCAAAGTTTGTTGGTTCCTTTACTGGTAAAAACAATAGAATTAGAAATAGATCAAAATGTGCTTTCGCCCTCAGAAAACCTGCTATTTAAACACTGCTGAGCATAAGAACAAACAGCAGGACATGGAGCAGGTGGACGAGCTTCCACCGCTGTGAAACCATGAAGCTAACAGCCTTCAGTAAAACACTGAATGTCTCCATGAGAGAAAATTAAATGAATCATTCTGCTGATCTGGATCCAATAATGCAGGCTAGTTTATCTTTAAGTTCAGCTTATCTGCCTTTAAGACATGATTTAGAATAAACTGGCCGTATGAAAAAAAATGAACATTTCTGATTTTAAATCAAAACCGCTTTAAAAACATGATTAATAACAATAGGGTGCAATTTCACCAGTGACCGCTGGTCAACAGAGGGCGCCACTCCACCCACCCAATGACCTTGATCAAGGCACCAAAGAACTAAAATTTTATTATGAAATGAAAATATTTCTAAATATATTAATATATGTTTTAAATATGTATGATAAATTTAGAATCTTTAATGATGAGTAAAGCTGTTTGGTTCGTCGTCAGATTGGTGTGTTTCTCTAGGGAGCAAAAATCATGGCATCAGTCACTGACTGTCATTAAAAGCTGTTCATGTGCAGCAGCTCCTCTGCAATGCCAAAGGTCAGGAGAGCTCAGGGTGCAGCGGAGCTACGCCTCCTGGCTGGAGCTGTCGTCACAGCCTTGATGCGGCTGATTGACAGGCCGAATCGCAGGAGTGGAGTCGCTTAATGCGAACTAACCAAGAGAAGCTGGAGGTTAAACCGTTTGGACCTGATCAGCCGAACATCAGAATGAATCATCAGTCCAAAGACAGATGGAGACGGTTCACTGGGTCCTTTTCCAGGACCTGCTTTAGCTCCAAAGCTAGGCTAACTGCCTGCAGCGAGGCTAACTGCGTGCAGCGAGGCTAACTGCCTGCAGCGAGGCTAACTGCGTGCAGTGAGGCTAACTGCCTGCAGCGAGGCTAACTGCGTGCAGTGAGGCTAACTGCTGCAGCGAAGCTAACTGCCTGCAGCGAAGCTAACTGCGTGCAGTGAGGCTAACTGCTGCAGCAAAGCTAACTGCGTGCAGTGAGGCTAACTGCTGCAGCAAAGCTAACTGCCTGCAGCGAAGCTAACTGCGTGCAGTGAGGCTAACTGCTGCAGCAAAGCTAACTGCGTGCAGTGAGGCTAACTGCGTGCAGTGAGGCTAACTGCTGCAGCAAAGCTAACTGCATGCAGTGAAGCTAACTGCGTGCAG